CAATGCTATTTTTAATTTGCACTTAGACATCACTATATGGAAGTGCCTCTATCACCTCTTTCTCCTCAACTTTGTTTGTTTTGTTTTGCTGATGTCATAGGTAAAGGATAATGTCTTAATGAAGTTTACATATGCATATTAGCAGGGCCAGTCCTGTAGGGCAATGGTTAAGGGCTATGCATTGAGAGCTGGATCCCACATGATTGATAGTGTTTGAATACCAGCCCAGCAACTTAAAAACCATGCCAGAAAATGTGTGTGTGTGCCCAGAATCCTGCCAGGAAGAAGAAATAGAGATAAAAGGATTGTGGTATGACTGCACCCTATCAGGGGGTGCTTTCTCTCTCTTTCTCTTTCTGGAGAGTAGATGCCACCTCTGGCAATTAAAAATACATATACAGGGTCCAGCAGTTAGCGTAATGGTTATGTCGCTGGACTCCCATGTATTTGACCACTGTTTGCCGGGCGCATGTACGTGTGTGCCCAAGATCCCGAGAGGAGAATGGAGGAGAAGGGATTGCTGTGTGGCCATCCCCCCTGTGGGGTGATTTTTCGCTTTCTATCTCTCTGTCTTTCTCTTTCTTTCTGGCAAACACACACGCCCTATAGCAAAAACCTCTCTATAAAAATTTTAAAAAACATATACAAACAAACATTTAATAGACACAAACATGAAGTTATATGCTGATGATAATCTGTACAGTAATGTCTTTGACTTGAATGATATGCACTGTATTCATACTGGGAAAAACCGTGATGTACATTGTAAAGATATACAGTGATTAAATATAAATAAAAATGCAAAAAAATTCTCACTTTGAAAAGTTAAAAAAATACACATGTGGGACCAGCAGTTGGTGTAATGGCTAGGTCATTGGACTCCCATGTAATTGACCATGGTTCAGGACCCAGATGCTGTGGCTTAAACTCACTCCAGGTGCATGTGTGTGCTTGCCCAAGATCCCAAGAGGAGAATGGACCAGATACTTTCCAGACCCTCTGCAAAGTGTCCTTCCTCCCATCCAGCTCTGTGTCCCAGGAAGATTGTATCTTTCCTCCTGCCATCCCAAATATACACAGAGAAATTCACCACCAGGATGGGATGCTAAGTCAACATCTGAATTCCCATTGGAGCAATAAACTAATAGGGTAGTTCAGCCATATATGAATGCTCATATCTTCAAAGTTCATGCTGGGTATGCAAGATTAGGTAATTAAACTCTTCACCTGAGAGAGATGTGCAAGTGCAGGAAAATACCCATAAATTCCAAACAAAGAAGCCAGATACTATGACAGACCTTCTCCTAAAATGCATTACCAACTTTCAAGATAAAAATAGCACCTAATCTTGGGACCAACAGATGGCATAATGGTTACATCTCTGGACTCCCACATAATTGACCATCATTCAAATCTCAGATCTGGCAACTTAAAACTCACACCAGGCACATTTGTGTGCATGCCCAAGATCCCAAGTGGAGAATGGAGGAGAAGGGACTACAGTGTGTCCATCCTCCCTGGGGGTTGATTTCTCACTTTCTATCTCTCCATCTCTCCGGAAAGTGCATGTACTCTATAGTAAAAAACAATCTCTTTAAAAAAAAAAAAAGTAACACTTAATTCCATGCCCAGGCAATTGTCCTTCTCTGGCAGCTGCCCAACTGCATGCCTTTCTGGCATGGGAGGTGTATTTCTTTTCTATTAAAAATCTCTACTTTCCTGGGAACCAGCAGTTAGCGTAATGGCTATGTCGCTGGACTCCCACGTAGTCAACCGCGGTTCGCGTCCTGGACCAGGTGACTTACAACTCACGCCGGGCGCGTGTGCGTGCGTGCCCAAGATCCCGAGAGGAGAATGGAGGAGAAGGGAGTGTGGCTGGACCATCCCCCCAGTGGGTGATTTCTCGCTTTCTGTCTCTATGTCTCTGTCTATCTGGCGAGCGCACGTGCCCTATAGCGAAAACCTCTCCAAAAAAAAAAAAAAAGAAAAAACAACATCTCTACTTTCCTATTAAAACTTCCCTTTTCATATTTTATAAGTGTTTATGGTTTTTCATTCTGCATCTTAGGGAGGATCTCTAATCTTAGAGATCTGGACCTAAAGAACCAAAGATTTACACAGTGCAACTCAGTTCTTCCTCGGCAGTCCATTTGAGACCTGCTCTTTGCTTGAGAGCTCTGTTCCTCTTTTCTTCTCTTAATGAACTCTCCACTTTACTATCCTTTCCCTATGGCCTTGTCTTTAATTATTCATTTGTGTGAGACAAGGAACTAGGTTTGCTACTGTTTCTGCACTGGGTATTGGGCCCATGCACCCAAACTTCCTGCATCAGCTGTAGTTAAGATATTATCTGAAGTATTGACTAGACCTGGAGGTCACAATTCTAAGCTCATTCACATGGCTGCTGGACTTAGAATCTCAGTTCCAAGAGACACAAAGGAGTGAATATGAGGAGGCAGGCATCGCTGGGGTCATCTTAGAATCTGACTACCACAATATAAGGAAATCTCCAAAAAGTTAATATGAAAAACTATGCATAAAATTCATTTTTTTGTACCAAAATAAACTTGGACTTTAGTTCCATTTTTCTACAAACTTTTTAAAGTCCCCTCATACATACAGTCTACCAAGTGTTGATGTAGATGGGCATCAACTGGAACTCCCAGAAATTCTTGTTAGGAGTGTGAAATGGTATCACTACCTAGGAAAACAGTTTCTTGTAAAGGTAAGCACATATTTGCCATAAGACCAAGAATTCCACACTTAGCTACTTTTGATCATGATCTCTCATGAACTTTTTTTTTTTGGGGGGGGGGGGGGGGGGTTTTACTATTTGGGCGA